CTGGAGAAGCTCAATATTGGCTGTCAAAACTAGGCCAGATGCTGACTGTGGAACAGACCATCAACTACTCATATTCAAGTTAAAGCTGAAGCTAAAGCAAATTAAATTAAATCCACAGGAACCAAAATTTGGTTCTATCTTGAGTCTATCCCAATGGAATTTCAAAATCATCTCAGGAACAGGTTTGAAGGCTTGAACACTAATGGGCGAAGACCAAATGAGTGTGGGTGGATATCAAGAATATCATCCATGAAGAATGCAAAAGGTCATTACGAAGGCAGAAGAAGAAGAAAAGACCAAGAGGAGTGTCAGATAAGACTGAATATTGCACTGGAGCACTGGCAAGCCAAAGCAAAAGGAAGAAAGAAAGTACGGAGCTGAACAGAAGATTTCATGGGCAGCATGAGAAGACAAAATATATTATTATAATAAAATGTGCAAAGAGCTGGAGTTAGGAAATCAGAAGGGCTGAACTTCAGAAGGGCTTAACATTTCTCAAGCTGAACAAACTGAAGAACAATTTCGAAGCCTGAGTTGAAATACTTAAGGATGCTTTCGGCAGAATAATAGATGATCCAGGAAGCATTAAAAGATGATGGAAGGAGTATGAATAGTCACTGTACCAAAAGGAATTAGCTGACACAGAAGAATTTCATGAAACAACATATGACCAAAAGCCTGTGGTGATGAAGGAAGAAGTTCAAACTGCTCTGAAAGAATTAGCAAAAACCAAGGCCCCAAGAGTTTATGGTATACCAATTGAAATATTTCAACAAACAGATGCTGTCCTGCATGTGCTCACAAAGTTGTGCCAAGAAATCTGGAGGACAACCACCTGGCCAACTGACTGGAAGAGATCCATATTTGTTTCCATTTCAAAGAAAGATGACCTGACAGAGTGTGGAAATTACGGAGCAACATCATTAATGTCATGCAAGCAAGATTCTGCTGAAAATTATCCAAAATGACTGAAATAGCACATCAACAGGGAACTGCCAGATGTGCAGACTGGGTTTAGAGGAGGCTGTGGAACTAGGGATGTAATAACTAAGGTCAGATGGATCTTGGCTGAAAGCAGAGACTATCAGAGAAATGTCTATCTGTGCTTCATTGATGATGCAAAGGCATTTGACTGTGTGGATCACAACAAACTTTTGGATAACTCTCAGAAGAATGAGAATCCCAGAACACTTGATTGTGTTTATGTGAAACCTATACTTGGATTAAGAGGCAGTCATGAGAACAGAGAAAAAAAACATTGCATAGTTCAAAATCGGAAAGGTTGTATGCCAGGGATATGTCCTGTCTCCATACCTTTTCAATCTATATGCAGAAGAGATCATCTTAGAGGCTAGGTTCTATGAGGAGGAATGTGGCACCAGGATTGGAGGAAGACTCATTAACAATCTGCATCGTGAAAATGACACAAACCTGTTTGTGAAAATGACACAACCCTGTTTGTGAAACTGAGAAGGCCCTGAAGCACTTGCTGCAGAAAGTCAAGGACTACAGCATTCAATATGAATTGAAGATTATATATATATATATGAATACAAAATATACTCACCACTGGGCTGATTGGCAGCATCATTACAGATGGTGAAGAGATTAAAATGGTTAACAGCTTTAGTTTGCTTGGCTCCACAATCAATATTCTTGGTACTAGCAACCAGAAAATCAAAAGATGAATTGCTTTGGGAAAGTCTGCTGTCAGAGACCTCTCCAAAGTACTGAAAAGTAACGATGTTATTCTGGAGAGTAAGGTCCACCTGATTGAGGCCATAGTCTTCGAAATAACTTGCTATGCATCAGAAAGCTGGACAATGACTAGGGATGATAGGAGAATTGATGCTGGAAAAGAATATTGAGTATACCATGGACTGCTAAGAGAACAAATAGGTTCATCCTATAGAGGATGAAGCCAGGCTGCTCTTTGGAGGAAAGGATTCTGAAGCTTCGTCTAACATACTTTGGGCATGTTGCAAGGAGGGACCGACCAGTCCTTGGAAAGAGACATCATGCTTGGGAGGGTGGAGAGACAGTGAAGGAGAAGAAGACCCTCGATGAGATGCAGTGACTCAGAGACTGGGGTAATGGGGTAGGTGTGGCAGAGACAATAAAGTTAGCTCAGGATAGAGCAGTGCTGAGAGCTGTTGTATATAGATTTGCAGCTATGAGTCACAAGCAGCTCAACAGCATGTAACAACAACATCAAAAACAACAACAATGGATACACCACTGGAGTTCCCTACCACCATATTTTACTACTGAATACTGAGCTGGAGAACACAGCAGAAGAGAGGATGACTTTTTATATTTTACTAGTTACAGTCAGGTCTATCCTGTGCTTCAGTAATGCAAGTTCAAGGGAAGAATTTATTTTAAACCACAATATATAATTATACCTAAGAGCAATATTTCCTTCACAAAACATGCACCATCAGAACACACGCTAAAAGCAAGCACACCAATTAGGGCATTAGTCATAACGATCAGGCAGTGCAAGTCAGGAAATTACAGGTGGTGTGGGCTGTAGCACTAAGTAAATTTCATGAGGTTGCCCAGATAAAGCCTTTGCTGACTGGGATGATTTACACCTGCTGATGCAAGGAAGAAGAATGGCAGCTGCCACTGCCAGGTGCCCGAAGGATGTTGAGACACATGAGTTCAGACATGAGAGGCAGGGTGCAGGCCTTTTAATTACGGCATTATTCACAAGTTAGCATGAGCGCGATAGCATTCAAAAATAGCAATTTCTTCTCTATCCCTACACAGGGACAGATTACTCAATAAACACGGGAAACTGTTGCCGACAGATTAGTAAGTAACTCAGGTAAGCCTATGCTTACCTTGATGATCTGTAAGAAAAACCTCAAATTCACTGCTATGGTATGGTGCTTCCTCACAAAGCTGAACGCAAGTTCCATATGACCCAGCTATTCCATTGTTTGGAATATATCCCGAGAAAAGGAGAACTGAGGCACACACAGAGACTTGTGTACCAACGTTCATCGCAGCTTCGTTCACCATCATAAGAACGTGGAGAGAGCTGAAATGTCCAACCACAATCAGATGGCTTGAGAAATTGAACTCAGTCCCATAAGGACAAATACTGTATAAGACTATTATTGTGGAAACAGAAAGACAATCAGTAAAATGTGTATGAGGATCCAAGGTGGGGAGGGTAGGAGCAGAGAGGTGAGATGGGCGGGGGTGCAATTGTAGGGCTGCACAATTTGATAAGTACAGGGAGGGGTGGATAAAGGAAATGGAAAGATCTGGTGTGGAAAGCATTGTACCAGTGTCAAACCAGTGTCAAATAAATTAGAAAATATAGAAAAATTCACTGCCATTAAATCTATTCTGCGCCATAATGACATTGTATTAGATTTCCAAGGCTGCAAATCGTAATGGGAGGAGACTTCCCATCTTTCTCCACACATATCTCAAAACACCTAAAAAGCTTGCATGTGGTTTAGGAAAAGCAAGATTTACCCACGTTGACTTTATTGGGTTCAGGATCATAGTGTCTAGGACATCAAAGCCAAGTGGCACAACACAGTCTACAAAGCTAATGTTCTACATCCTACTTTGGTGTCTTAAAAAGGTTTTGAGCAGCTTTTAGGTTCACCATTGTTCTCCCCATGTGCAGAACAAAGAAGGAAAAATATTATCAAAGATGTGGAGAAAGCTATAACCAATGTCGTACAACAGAGTCTAGAAGAATGACTGACTAGAAACCAACCTGCCTTGTAAACTTTCACTCAAAGCCCAATAAAAGCTTAAAAAATAGACGGCATGCAAAAGAAAAATAAAAGAAAGGAAAGGTAAGGAGTAAGGAAGAAAGAAGAGCAATGTAATAGTGAAAGGTGAGGGGTCTTAATATTTTTTCCTTTTGTTTCAACTTTATGTGTATGCAAAATTATCAGCAAGGTATAACTAGAAAGCAAGCTTCGTTATACTGCAAAGATTAAGAGTGTTATAGGTCAAGTGATGCAAAGTAAAGTTCAGAGAGAACTGCTTCTGATGGCAGAATCACAGCTTAAATTCACACAGCTACACAAAGTAGTCAGTCCTTATGGGTTCCTGGGAAAAATATCATCTTTGGGAAACTGGATGCTTTAACAATCTTGTTAAACATTTCTATCCTGGAACCTTAGCTCCTGTAGTAATGGATGCACTTCCTAAGCAAAATGGTTCTCAAACAAATCCAGGAGGTGAAGCCCCTGGTACACTGGGCAGAAAATCAGGAGCTACACACATCCACTTGCAATTTCAACTAATGGAAATCCCACGTGTTCAGAATAGACCTGTGCGTCGTAGTATTTTCAATGATTGATATTAATTGATGATTATTTTAATCTGGGACGACAGCTGATTAAGTGATAACAAATTAACTGGAAGGTTGGTAGTTCGAATCCACCTAAAGGTGACTGAGAAGAAAGGCTTGGTGCCCTGCTTCTGAAATATCACAGCTTTGAAAACCCTGGAGAACAGTTCTCTGCACACGTGGAGTCACCAGGACGTGGTGCTGACTTGATGGCAACTGTTTCTTATTTTAACTTATAATAAGTTTGCAACAGATCAGATGACATTTTCTATTAAATTCTGTAAGGAGAGCAATGAGTCCAAAATGAAAGGAAATTTATAGAGGGGGAAAAAAGGATAAAATCTTGCATTTTCTCCTAAATTGTAAATATTATGTATTTGTCCTAAAAGGACAACGTTCTCATTGAGACTGGGGACAATGTGCATTCCTAGAGGAAGAGTTCAGAACCATTGCTCTAATATCATTTACTGTCCACTTACATCTGAAATTCCACAGGAGAGGTTTTTAAGTTAGCATTTCAAACTACTCTCCTTTCAAGAAAGTGATTGTGATTTCCAACATTACAACTGCCATGAAATTCCTGGACCTTCCTTTGATTTTCCGTGCAAGCCCTCTTGCTCCCTACGCTGGGGAGGGGGTGTCCTGGCCACCCTGGGCATGGTGGGCTCACCCTTCTGCGCAGCCGGTCCCGCTCCTCCCGGATGGCATTCATGGTGGCCTTGGTCCTGTTCAGTTCCTCTTCTTTGCTGCACAGCATGGCTGTCAGACTTTCATTCTCTTCCCTCAGGCCTGCCAGCTCCTTCTCCCAGCGAGAACGCTCCTCAGCCAGGTTGGGGTACAGGTCTCGGCCAAGCACCCCTTCAATCTCTTCAACTGTCTGTAAAACAAAGCCACAAAGAACTGCTATGTCAGTTGACTTGGATAAAAGGGAGAGAAATAAAACAGACCAGACAGCAGTAAATGTCCACAAAGGAGCCAGGTCTAGAGCCAACTTCTTTGCAAATGGAGTCATGACTGGTGATGTCTCCAACTCTGCCCGCTTTTAGTGAGATTTAATCATGTGCCTGGACTACAGTGTGTATTACCCAAAAGTCCCTAGAGCAAGAAGAATACAGTTCCTTCCTGGCATTACAATCTATCAGTGGTACCAACTGCCAAGTCCACATAAATGGTTATCTCCCTCATTCAAGTTTCAAAGCTGGTGAATACACAGCAAAACAGCAAGCCCGTTTTGATTAGCAATCCTGATAATGCAATGACAAACACAAAGTTGCAAAATGCATAGAAATCTACCTCCAAATTGCCCAAAGTATAGGCCTCTCCCAAACTATGGCATGTTCAAATTCAGTCCTAAGACAGGTCACCTCACCATTTTGAGCTTTTAGAGTTCCATCAGGAATCAGATGGTGTGAATGAGGCTCAGTCCCAAGATGCTAAAGATAAAAATAGACTACAGTGACACAGAAAAGTGGAAACGCACTGTGGAAGCTTCTAAGACAGCAGGAGCTTAATTAATTAATGAGACAGCTTGGAGACAAAAGAAAGAACAGATTCGTAATAGTACTTGGAAAGAAAATTAAAAAAAAATGATTTGAAAATTTATCAATGGGAAATAAATGTGCATAAAATTAGGAAGGGCAGAGGGGGAAGGAGGTTCTAATTCTGCTTATTTTCTGAAACTTTTCATTCACATTTAGTGTCCTGTAGAAGAGGAATCACAATGCTACTGATATTAAAAGAGGAGGGAGAAGGACTATGAGGATATAAGTGAAGGGACACCATGAGATATAGGTGGCCTCACATATGAAGATCAGAGAGCTTATCACTCTAGGATGATACACTGGGCCCCTGGTGACCAAATCATACTGTCACCTTCCCTATGCTGTACTGGGATTCTTTTTTTTTTTTTTTTAACCTGGTGGCTCTGTTCCAGGCTCATGTTGTCCCTTTCTGCATGGCACAATTCCTTGGCCTCTTCTTTCTCTAGATCATCTCATCAATGACTGAGGTTCGGACTAGTACCCAGGTTGACACTACGATCCAACACAGAGCCTGGGAAACCCCAGAGGAAGAAACTTGCATGGCTGCTTCTCTCCATTCCGAACCACATCAACCACGTATTTCAATGGAGATGAATGGAGAGGGAAAACCAGCTGTACCATAAACATGCATCACAGTTTACACTGAGATACCACAGTTTTTCTGTGAAAGCCAGGACTCTTGTTGATAGAAACACTGGCCTATAGTCCTGGGACCCTTTTCCAATAACACATCACATTCTCCCTTGGCACTGGTCCCCTTACACTTATAAGTTAGGTCTTGTTGGAATGGCTGATCCTAGGTAACTAGACTATGGTTAAGTAGCAGGAAGATACCAGAGGCCCGCCATCAGTAGAACCTGTATTTTTCATTGTTCATGATGAACTGGTACAGATCCAAGGAATTCCTTTCACCTGATTCTCCTTTAATAGCCAGAAGCAAGTTTGTGAACATGTAGCTGATACCCAGCTCCAGAGCGCCTGGGATGGAGGGCTAGTTCTTTTGTGAAGACAACTGGCCCATTAAGTCTCCACGCCTCCCCCTGCTAGTACTAAGAGCTTAAATCTCTTAAGATAATATTCTAGAGGCTTTGAAGCTTTGATTAAATATCCAAGTTAATAAGTAAGCCAAACTAAAATTCTATTTTCCAACACTCAAAGTCTAATAGTTTCCAAGCACATTGCTTTTTTCTTGCAAAACTGTCTTGGCTGCTGACTTTCTTTGGAGGCAATTCAGTCCAATGAGAATTCGCTCCTACTGCAGCCTGCTGGCCCAGTCTACTGTATGGCTTTCACTGGAACATTTATCCCTCACAGGTATTTGAGAAAACTTAGAGAGGGGGAATGTGAACCACTCTTCTCAAACAATCTGGAAGAGCATGACAGAGGGCAGTGGGGGCCTTACCTTAATAGCCAAGTCACAGTGCTCGCTGGCCGTGGTCAGCTGCTCGATGTGCCTGTCCACCTCGGCCACGGACAGGCTGCAGCTGCTCTTCTTCCTGCCGCAGACGACGCTCTCCAGCCCCGTCAGTACTCTCTGAAGCTCTGAGTTCAGGTCGCTGCAGTTATCTGGGAATGTGGAAGCAAAGGCATTAAGCAGTCAAATGGACAATGAATGCTCTCACTCAGTGCACCACATGGGTGAGCCCTCTGAGACGGCATTTCAGAGGTTAGCAGTCCCCTGCCTGACCTCAAAGGCTGCCAGTGCTACCTGCAAGGTTTGGAGTTGCAATTGATCTTTTTATTTTTTTTTTATAGATCTCAATACTACTTTTCCACTAATTGATAAAACAAGGCAGACAAATCAGTTAGGATACAGAAGACTCATCTCTTTATCCTGGCTCTCATGTTGGAATAAACTCACACAGATGAAACTCCAGCAGGTTTTCAGAGGCCGTAAATGGCTCAGGAAGAGACTGTCCACCCTTTTCCAGGGGAGCTGCTGGTGGATTTGATCTGCCAGGAAAGTGCGACAGTTGGGTTATTATATGGGTTACACCACTAGAGCTCTCCTACAGAGAACAAACATGTTGCTGGTTCTTTACTAAGGACTTCGAAATCATAGCTATTTTGCAAATTCCTGGGCTGCTCTGAATCATCTCAGGTTTCATGTGAAAGCAGTCACATCTCTAGTTGCCCTCCAAAAAACAAAGAAGTGCCTCAGAAGGGTTGCTGGGATTTGAGAAGGCTTCTGGACTCTGGAAGCTTCAGCTAAGACTCTGACTTTACTAAAAACACCAAACAAATGCCCTGTAATGAACAGAGACACCCATGGGAATTTTAAGAAACAGAAACCATGTACAAGATAATCTTTGCTCCAAAGATGCTTCTAATCAGAATGTGTTCCTAATCACCAATTAGCACGATCCATCACTACATTTTAACACAAGTTCTTTCACAGGAGGGAAGGGAAGAAGTGGTTCTAACAAAGTCTGTATTATTCTCTGCGTAACCAGTTCTAATAATTGGATTCTGACCTTCAAGCCTGGATTCCTTTTATTTGTCTGACACAGAGTGCCTAGTCAATGAAGGAAAATTAACTCTATGTGAGTGAGACATATTTTGGAAGGTAATCTCCGGGGGAAGTTGTTGAAAATCAAATGCAAATTCCTTAACCTGCCGTTTTAGGCTTTGTGTATCATTGTGTAATTCATTACTGCAAGAAGCTATGGGTTGGCTGTATCTATTCATGCTCTCAAAGTATATTCCTTCTTTACATCTAGCCACGCTGGTGGCCTGTGTGTTCCTATGATGCTGAATGGATTTTAGTGGAGACTTCTGGACTGGGAAGAAAGTTCAGAAATGAGCCAGTGAAAACCCCATGGCTCAAAACATTCATACCCGTGACTACTCCTGGGAAGGGCAAAGGGTCAGACAAGAATTTTGTTCTGTTGCACAGGGTTCCTCGGAGGCACTGACTGGACAGCGGCTAACAACCAGCTAAGCTTGATTTCTACATAAAAGAAGCCTCATGTCTTCAGTTTCTAACCATCTTCCGTGTTCTCATAGGCCTTAAGCACTAAAATGGTTAGTGGCTTTTGGTGTTTACCTATGGAAGACTTCAAGAAAGTTATCAGGCCATTATTATGTCTATCAAAACCATTACTGTAGAATGAGTATAAGTATCCAAGTTGGGAGCAGAGGGATGAGGATGTGCAGGAGAAGGGGGGAATTAATCATGGAGTTGTACAATTTGATGAGGGTGGTGGTGAGGGAAATTGAAAGAATCTGTTCTTGAAAACAATGTATTCCAATTTTGTCAGTAAACTAGTAGAAAAAGAAAAGGGGGGGGGGAAAGAAAGAAAGCTATCAGTATTATTAGAGCCACGAGTTTCTGGAACATTTTAGCTGACTTCACATGGCTGCCTTTACCTCTAAGTTATTTTAGGAAGAAGACAATTGTGAGGCTCCTTCCCCTCAACCAGGAGACAGTTACCCCATCCTAGCTTTCATTCCTGCTCCCCCTGATCTCTCCCATCTCTGTGAATGGTACCAGCATCCACCAGTCACACAGGCCAATCCTATGAAGTAACCTTGACTTTCTTTCACCTCACATTCTGCATGCATCTTGCTAACGCAGCCTCCAAGACTTATCCCCAGACTGACCTCAGCATCACCACTAATAATCCCCGAGTCAAAGCCACCATCACTTTTCTCCTGGGCTGTGGTTCTCCTGGATCTCTTATCTCTGTTTCCCACATTCGAGAGCCCAAATGAACCTCTTTAAAACAGAAATCAGATCATGTAACTTCCTCAAACCAGTGATTTCCCATTGTCCAAACTCCTTACCATAGGAATGAAAAGTCCAAACTTCTTACCATAGTCTGTGCGACCCTGCATGATTGAGACCAGTGGTTCTCAACCCAGACTCCACCATGGAATTCCCTGGAGAGCTTTTATAAAATGCCAATGTCCATGCCCCACCCTAGGACAATTACACCACAATTTCTAGGGGTGGGGCCCAGGCATTGGAAATTTCTTTGATCTAGGCCTTGCCTCATCATCTTACCTTCCTCCTCATTCACCATGCTATGTTCACATTCCTGGCATCTTCCTCTCTGGAACATGCCAAATTCCTACAAGGAATGTGTAGGAATTTTCCATTTTGTAGGGATGTGTAGCTTTTCTTTTTGTTGTTTTTTCTCTACCTTGATTTCCATCAAAACCTCCACTGTTCATGCAGTCCTCAGTCCACACGGCTCCTTTTACCACCTGACCTAAAGCATGGAGGGTCAGCTCTTTTCCCCACAGCCCATGAGTCACAGGCGACTCGACGGCACATAACAATAACAACAGTATGACTTCTGTGTTGGTTCTCTCTTCTCTTTTAAAATGCAAACTCATGACAGAAGGGTCTTTGGTCTTCTTCACTGTTGTATTCCCACCACGTAACAGGAAGGGCAATCAAAACCCGTTTTCCAAATGAATCAATATAGACACTACGTCATCATATATCAAGAAGCTGTAAAACTAGAATCACAGACTCTCAGCAGCACCAAGTTTTACTTCAGCCTGATGCTTTTTCCTTGTGGCTAACAAATAGTAGCTAACTTCCTACTAAAGAGGGCTCCCCGGAGGAGGGCAGTCTCCCCTCACCTCACAGTCAAGGGCAAGGATGGAGAAGACAGCACCCCACAATGAACACAGAGACCGACGAAACTGCCTTCCACATACTTAACAACTCATTGCCATCGAGTCAGAAAAGACTCACAGCCAACTCTCCAGCCGGTTTTCTGAGGCTTTAAATTGTATGGGAGGTTTCCCATCTTTCTCCTCAAGAAGCTGGTGGCTGTGAACCACCAGAGGCGATGCCTTTCATTTCACAGCAGTAATCAGAGAGAGATTTTCCAGAATGACCATTTACCTCAACGATGCAGGTGCTCCTGGTCCCCTAACATGGAGTGAACACATAATTCTGAATTAGTTGCTTCATTAAGTACTTATATTTGTGGAATAAGGAAGAACGCTATCTCTCTTGGCTGAAAATCCCCGTGGATTTTCTGGGTCTAGCACTGTCCAGTGTAACTGTCTATGGGACAGCTCTCAGAGCAGGACTAACAGACAGCACCCAGGATGCAAGGATATGAAGATAAGTAAGAGCCTGTATTCCAATCTGGAGAGAGGCATGGTGGCACAGTAGTTTGGGGGCTCAGCTGCTAATTGAAAGGTTAGCAGTTTGAACACATCATGGGCTCCGCAGGGATGATGTGACTATCTGCTTCTGTAAACATGACACACCTGGAGGCACCAGAGGACAGTTCTAGTCTGTCTTGCAGGGTTATTAGGAATCGGAATGGACTCAGTGGCACCAGGTTTTAAGTGGCTCAGAGATTTGTGAGATGACCATATAGTCCCTTCTCCAGGGTCCACTGCTACTCAGTACCAGTACTGATGTACCCAGTGGGGGCCTTGGTAAAGCACAAAGATGATCAGAAGGATATGAGGAAGCTTTTGAAATGAACAGACCTAGCTCCATATTTATTCCTTTTCCCAAACAACAGGATCCAAAAGAAAGTAGAAATTCTCAAGCAATACCACTAGTATACATGCAAACAAAATCTTGCTGAATATTATCCAAAAAGGACTAGAACAGTTTGTTGACGGAGAATGACAGAAACAGAAGCTGGATTTGGAAAGGGCTGTGGCACTAGGGGTATCAATGATGAGGTCAGATGGATCTTGGCTGAAAGTAGAGAGTACTGAAAGGCTGTCTGTTTATGTGTATGTTTTATTGATAATGCAAAGGCATTTAACTATGTGGATCACAACAAATTATGGCTAACATTGAGAGGAAGCGGAATCCTAGAACACTTGATTGTGCTCATGAAAAATCTATTCCTAGACCAGGAAGCTTGTTGTACGAACAGAGCAAGGGAATACTACTTGGTTCAAAATCAAGAAAGGGATGCATCTTGTATGTATCCTTTCTCTATATTTTTTCAGGTTATATGCAGGACAGATCATCTGGAAGGCTGGACTTTATGAAGAAAAATGTAGCATCAGGATTAGAGGAAGATTCATCAACACCTGCATTATGCAGATGACATGAACTTGCTTGCCAAAACTGAGAACTTGAGCTTATGTTGCAGAAGGTCAAGGACTGCAGCTTTCAATATGGATTGCATTTCAATATCAAGAAAACAAAGATTACCACTGGGCCAAGAGATAGAGAAAAGATTGAAGTTGTTAACAATTTCATTTTGCTCAGAGCCATAATTAACACTCTTAGCACCAGTAGTCAGGAAAACAGAAGACAAGTTGCTTTGGGGAAATATGCGACCAAGGTCCTCTCCAGAGTGCTAAGATGTCAGTTTAGAGACTAAGGTGAACCTGATATAGCCCAAGGTCTCTTCGATTGCTTGTTCTGTGTCTGGGAGCTGGACAATGAATCAGGATTACAGAAAAGAATTGTTGCCTTTGAGGTGTAGCGCTGGAAAAAGAGTATTGAACATAGTATGGACTGGCAAGCAAAAAAGTCTGTCCTGGACAGCGTGAAACCAGGTTTCTCCTTAGAGGCAAGGATCTTGAAGCTCTGTCTCACAAACTTTGGGCATGTTACCTGGAGGGGC